AATGGCGTTTAAGGGAATCCTGGAGAATGTTGAAGACAGACCCAACTTTTTTGCCCACAGCCAATATAAACAAAAATTTGGTGTCTCTTCAGAGCTTGGGATAAAAACTTGGATTTTCCTTTTCTTGATTTGATAGCAGTGGACAAGTTACTGCCCAGACAGCAGGGAAGGATTTCCTTGGGTTTTTATTCAGTGGGAATGAGGGGTTCGGGCAGCAAATGGATCCATTTAGGCTGAAATTCCAGATAAAAATAAATATGGAATGCAGGGCTCCTCCCATGTGGGATACTGGAGAAGATTTTGTTGTTTCATCCATTATCACATCATTCCAGGACGGTTTGGCCAGGCTGGATTGGGCTTGGAGCCACCTGGGACAGTGGAAGGTGTCCCTGTTCATGGGGTTGGGACTGGATTTCCAACCCAATCCACCCTGGGTCAAATTCTGGGATCTTTGGCCATTTCCTTGCTGTTTCTCTGCAGTCCATTGTCCCTAAAAATTAAGCGGAGAATCTTTCCCAGGATCACAAACTGGTTTTCCCCACAGGTGAGAAGGAAACGGGAAGGGATCAGTGACACCTGGACACCAGGAAAGGTTTCCTGGTTTCTCTGACCCAGCTCACAGTGAGATCCAGGAGATCACAGAACTCCCAGTGATTTTGGGGGATCCTGGAAGTGAGGTGGGGCTGGGTATGATGGAATATGGGAAATTTCCATTCTGGGTGCTCAGGGCCAGGTTGGATTCTGAGCTCTCCAAACCTCCCAGATCTGCTCCAGGACCATGCCGGGCTCCACATCTGCTTGGGTGAAGTTCTCCTCTTGCTCACTGTGAATGGGTCAAAACAAAATCCCTGACAAAAAGTGAAGGGGAAGAACCGAAATGACTCCAAACCTCCTCTGGGAAGTGATGGTTAAAATCAGAAATTTGGGGTTTTGCTGCTCCGTGGCCCTGTTGTCACAGGTTAAACACAGACAGAACCATCAGCAACCCCAAATCTCAGCATTCCCTGTGTCCTGTATCCACCTGGGAAGCAGCCAGGGGTCCACAATTCCTGTGTCAAAGCCTAAAAATGGGGCAGAAAATGGTGCAGAACTCGACATATTTAATGGCAGTGTTTGAGGAAACTGGAAAATGGTGAGGCAGGAACGTTCTGAAGCATTAAAGGAAAATTTGGGGTTGATCGGGGGGGGGTGGGAAAAATCCAGCTGAACCTGATGAATGCAAATAGGCCTTGCTTGAGATCCTGAACTGCATTTTGTTACTTTGAAAATATAATTAATGAGGGAGGGCAGGGACTGTTTGTGAGGAGTTTGAGGACAAAAGTTGTTTCATCTCGGGTTGTTTTGATCACATCCTCATTCTTTGGGGCCTCTTCGGAGCGAGGCTGGCACTTTGCTGAGTCTCAAAGAACAGTTACAGATTTATTTGCACATTTGCTGCTCCTTCGGAGCTCCGTGTGCCGGTGGCGTTCCCAAAAATCTGCTGGGAAGGGTCTGCAGCAGCGTCGCCCACGTTTTCCTGGTTAATCAGAGAATCCTGGAATGGTTTGGGTGGGAAGTGGCTTTAAAGATGATTCCATGCACCCCTCCCACTATCCCAGGCTGCTCCAAGCCCCAATCCACAACCTGGCCATGGGCACTCCCGACTCCTTCCCATCCCCATCCCCACCCTCCCAGCCAGGAATTCCTTCCCAACATCCCATTAAATCTCTTTCATAACCATTTATCTCATTTGTAACCATTCCCCCTCATCTCTGCCTGCCTGAAAACCCCTTAACCTCATATTTCTCTTCTATTTTTGTGTCTCACCCCGTGGAAACTTCTCAGCGATGCCTAAAATGTAACTGATGACACAAAATCCATGGCATGGCTCAATTTTCTTGGTATTTTGGAATGCCCTCCTGGGAATTTCCTCCTGGAAACGGAGGTCCAGGAATCTACAAATGAGGAAAATCCAAGCCATGGTTTTAATGGATTGCTGGATGGAGGAAATTATACAAAAACTCCTTTTCCTTTACCTGGTGGTTTTGTATCAAGCTCAACTCCGGTGTTCCCAACGTGGTTGAAATCAGGAAGGTCTGAAGGGATTTTGGGAGCCTCATGCAGAGTCATGGAATGGTTTGGGTTGGAAGAACCTTAAAGACCATCCAGTTCCAACCCCCTTTCTGCTGGCAAAAAACAGCTTTGATCCAAATTTTGAGGTTCTGCCCCCTTTTCTTACCTTGGAATCGTTGTTTTTCCACAAAGGAAAGTTACCCTGACTTCCCTGCTAGACTTTGTTCAGTCCTAGGCAGGAGAAACTGCTGAAAACTCAGAAATAAAAATAGTTTATTGAGGTTATGAGCAACTAATTTGGGCTGAAACGTCGCTCTGGTCGTGCCCATCGATTTTTTTCTTTTTTGGTTTTCCCCTGCCTGAAAAGGATCTGCATAAAATATTGAGGGGTTTTGTGTGTGTAAGCATTGTTTGAGCTGTTATTTCCACACAAAAAAAAAAAGCTCAGCTCGTGCCTCAGAGCTTAATTCCGTGGCAGTTTCCAACTGGTTCATCCTCGTGATTCCGACTCGGTAGTGCTGATTCCTGGGAATTGGCTGAGGCTTTCCCAAGGGAAGGAGAACTGCTCAGTGAGGAAAAGTGAAAAAAATTCCATCTTGATTAAAGCCATGAAACTTCCTTGAGTAAATATAAGTAAATGAATAATGTAAATAACTTAAATTATAAATGAATAAATAAAGTCAACCCATTGGATACTTCAAGATGTGGTTAGAACTAGGGAGCAGCATCCAAAATGATGCTTTTCCTAGAAAAACACCAAATTTTCCATTTTCTCCTTAAAAAGTTTGCCTTCCTCAATGGAAGAAGCCTCTCCTACCCTGTGGGAATGAGGGTAAATAGCTCAAATTCAGGCTTTCCCCCCAACTTCGAAAAGACAACCAAGTAAATAAATAAATGTGAATTCTTTTCCCGGTTCTGGAAGTGTAAATTCTTTTCCAGGGAGCGCTCATCCAGCGTGGAATTTGCAAGTCCCAAAGAGTTGCGTTGCTCAAGGAGATACGGAATTACCAAACATTGAGTCTGAGTTAGCAAAATTGAGCCTGAATTGCCAAAATTGAGTTTGAATAAGCAAAATGGAGTTGGAACTAATGAAACTGAGTCAGAATAAACAAAACTGAGTCTGAATTCAAATTTTCACCACCCCGTGGATGGAGCAGGCGGAGATTTTTTAGTACTGTCTAAAGTATGGAATCTCTAGAACCTTCCAGGGCCTGAAGGGGCTCCAGGGGAGCTGGAGAGGGACTGGGGACAAGGGATGGAGGGACAGGACACAGGGAATGGCTCCCAGTGCCAGAGGGCAGGGATGGATGGGAGATACTTGGGAATTGGGAATTGCTGGCTGGGCTGGAATTGCCAGAGCAGCTGTGGCTGCCCCTGGATCCCTGGCAGTGCCCAAGGCCAGGCTGGACATTGGGGCTGGAGCAGCCTGGGACAGTGGGAGGTGTCCCTGCCCATGGAATGGGTGGAAATCAGATGGGATTTAAGGTGTCTCCCAACCCAAACCATTGTGGAATTCTGTGAAATGGATCCAGGACAGAGAGAACGGGGAGAGAAACCCAGGGAATTGGGAAACCTAGCAGAAGAAATCACCATGAAAGGTGGATATCAATCTTTATCTTCAGTCCTTCCACCCAGCCTGGGGATTTGTACAATTTCTAATCAGTATTTTTGTTTTCTTTTCCATCCGGATGGAAAAAAAGCTTGGCTAAACCTACAGACATCCTTTGGCACAGCTCTTGGGAAAGAAGGGATTTTAGGATTGTGTCAGGAGCATTTTACATTCAGTTCTTCAAAAAGCTGTGCGCAGGAGAGGTTAAGTGGCTGATCCTGATGCATTCTCCCAAAAATCAGGATCATCCCAACCCTCAGGTCCTTGATGTCAATGGGGATGGGATTTTGGGGGAGTTTTGGGTTCATTTAATGAAATCTGAGTTGAGTGAGATGCAGGAAAATTTTGTTCTTGGAGACTGAGGATGGAATGCCAGGATAAGATGCTCCTTTAGGAGGAAGATGGTGGGAAATGAGGTTTTCCAGAGATGCTGTGTCCCTGTGTAGGTTTTCCCTCCAAAATTTCCCATCTGGAACCTCGAGATTTCCTTATCTCTGGTGGGAGGTAGAGAATTAATTGGATTTGTAGTGGAGGTGTGAATAGTCTTGGACGCAGGAGAGATTCCAGATGGATTTGAGGTGACCTCACTGGTTGTATCAGTGATTTTAGGGTGATGGTTCCCCTTTTCTGGTGCTCTGAAAGGACAGGGATGAGGAAAAGCCTGGAAATCTCTCCAGAGATGGAAAACAATCCCTGAAATCTCAGGAATTATTTCGGTTGGCAGCAGCTCAGCCCAATTTAGGTGCTGGCACTTCCTATTTTCCATTATGGAGGTGACAGCACTTCAGAGCTGCATTATCCATGACGGAATTTAATCAGGATTTGGGATTCTGGGGGAAAATTATCCATGTGTTTTAACACGAGCTTTGGAAGATCCTAAGGTTAGGGTTAGGTTTAGGGTTAGGGGTTCCACCAAAGAATCCCAGAGTTATTGGGGTGGGAAGAAACCTTCAAGTTCATCCTATTCCATCCCATGAGCAAGGACACCTTCCACCATGCCAGGCTGTCCCAAGCCATGTCCAGCCTGGCCTTGAGTTTTTCCAGGGATGGAGCATCCGTTGGCTCTCTAGGGAACCTGTGCCAGTGTTTCATCCTAAAATCAAATAAAATCTCCACCTGATATCTCCCTTACTTAGCCACAAAAAAAAGCTCAGCTCATGTCTCAGAGTTCAATCCTGTGCCAGTTTCCAGCTTGTGATTCTGAGTTGGTGCTGCGCAGATTCCTGGGAATAAAATCAAATCCTATGGCTGCAGCCCCTTTAAAAACCATATTTAGGCCTCCAGTGAAGCCAGATTTCTGCTTTATTACAGAAAACTGTTCCTTTTTTTGGTGTTTCAGCCTTAAAAAAAGGACGCTTTTGGATCACCCCTGACCCGTACCACAAAGATGACAACATCCAGATCGGGCGGGAGGTGAAGATCTCGTGCCAGGTGGAGGCCATCCCCTCGGAGGAGCTCACCTTCAGCTGGTTCAAGAACGGGCGGCCCCTGCGCAGCTCGGAGAGGATGGTGATCACCCAGACCGACCCCGACGTCTCCCCCGGCACCACCAACCTGGACATCATCGACCTGAAGTTCACGGATTTCGGGACCTACACGTGCGTGGCGTCCCTCAAGGGAGGCGGCATCTCGGACATCAGCATCGATGTCAACATCTCCAGCAGCACAGGTGAGGAGCAGCTCCTCGGGCTGGGGTTTGGGTGGGTGAAGAAGCCCCGTGGTGGAGAAGGTTGTGTGGAGACCTCCCAGCGCATTCCAGGGGCTCCGGGGAGGGAATGTTCATCAGGAACTGGGGACAGGACACAGGGAATGGCTCCCACTGCCAGAGGGATGGATGGGAGATTGGGAATTGGGAATTGCTGGCTGGGCTGGAATTGCCAGAGCAGCTGTGGCTGCCCCTGGATCCCTGGCAGTGCCCAAGGCCAGGCTGGACCCTGGGGCTGGAGCAGCCTGGGACAGGGGTGGCACTGGATGAGATTTAATGTCTGTTGCATCCCAAACCATTCCATGATTCCATGATTTTACTATGAGGAAAAGAACCAGGAGGATTCTTAGAGGAAAAAAGCCAACTTTGGAATGATGGATGTGCATTCCATGCAAACTTTGTCACCTGCCTGCCCAGGTGGAGCAAACAGTTCTGTGTGTGCACTCATGCATCCAAGAACTACTGAATTCCCTGGACTTCCTTGGGAATCCTTGGGAAAACTGATGGGATTTCCTGGAAACTTCTATTAGTTGGTCTTTCCTGTCAGCTCGCCACAATCCCTGCAGGAAATGATGAATTCTGTCACCTCTTAAATTTCCCGTCCTGGAACGCTCCAGAAAATAAGGAAAAGGGGGAAGAGAACATGGAATTTGAGCTCAGCCTTTTTTAGCATCCGAGCAGGAATTCTGCTCTTGGAATGACTTCATTACCCAGCCAAGTGGAAGCTGAAATAGTTGCAGTGCTTTGAAGGTCATTACTGATTCATCAAGATTCATTACTGCTCTGCTAATTAGGAACAGAAGGCCCAGGCACAAACACATTTCCCAAATGCCAGGACTTGCAGGCATTTATTAACGTCCCTCTGGATGTCTGGGATGGATGGGGGGGAATTTCCTCTTCCTGGTGTTTGTGCAGCTCCTCCCGGAGTGGGGAAGGAGGGGCTGTGTCAAATCCTAAGGAAGGAGGAGATCCATGAATCCATGAATTCTCCAGGAGGTTGGGAAGGGATGTGTGGTTCTGGAATGGCTCATGTTTATCGGGAATATTTTTTTTTTTTTCTCCCCTTGACATGTTCAGCAGGAAAACCAGGGATTTATGTCCTGAGTATCTTACATAAATGGACCTGAAGTAATCCCCTCGCTGCTCCCCCCATATCTCAATAAAATAGGTCAGGGAAGAGTGGGAATCGAGACTCAAACGTGGAATATCTGCCCTAGAAAAGCCCTGTCATCCATAAAACCCACCCTGGGCAAACGTTACTGAGAGCCAGGCTGGGTTTTTCGGGAGATGTGGGATCATGTCATGGAAACCTAGAGGCAGAAGATGCTAAAAAAGCACCGAGATGTTAAAAAAGCAGCAAAAACCTCGATAAAGTGGGTTTGTGGTAAGCGAAAAAAGAAGAGGTGGATCAGAGGGTGTCAGCCTGTGCCAGGGATTTTTCCTCTGCCTCAAATATTGGATTGAAGCAGGAAGAATCAGCTTTGGGATTGGGATGGTTTGCTCTGTGTCAGGGCACTGCTTCTATTCCCAAAAATCAGCGTTTTTCCCTGCTGGCTCATCCCCTTTCCACCTTTTCCCTGGAGACATCACTGAGCAGGGAAGAGATTTGTTATTTGGGGGTATTTTCCTTTATTCTCTGGTTTTGCTGCTCTGAAATGCCACAGGCAGGTCTGGCGGAAGCGCTGATCCCTCTTTTCCTAAGGGAGTCCTTCCTGTGGCTCATTCCCACCCCGTGTGTGGGCACAGCCAGATGTCCCACGTGGAAAAACATCCAACAAGGATGAGCCTGAGGGTGTGCTGAGCTTGCGCCACCTCAGGATGGGAACACCCCGCAGCAGGACACAGATTTTTGGATCCCCAGGGCAGCCTGGAGGCCTCCAGGTCTCATGGAATCATGGAATCGTGGACTTGTGGAATCGTGGAATCATGGAACTGCTTGGGTTGGAAGGGATCTTTGAGGGGCCACCTTCCTCTATCCCATCTTGCTCCAACACCTCTAGGGAGAAATTTGGCTTTCCATAAATTCTGCTACATCCAGGCAGAGAAATTCTTGGAGAACTGCTCCGTGTGAGGCTCTGCGATATGAAAAGGGCTTCCCTGTCAAGCTAATCAGCTCTCGATTAAATAATGAATTAATTAGAGCTGCAGGCTGCTGTTCCAGGACCTGCAGCCTTGATCTGGTGGTGCCACAGGAGTCCTCTGGTCATCCTGTTCCTGCTTTGATGAGACATGAAAGAGACCTTGATTCCAGCTCGGAATGTTTGTTGGAATCACAGCCGGTTGCATAACGAGGATGTGGGGTTTGGGAGGTAATTAGTGGCTAATTAAGATATTTGTAAACCTTAAGCACCGTCCAGAGCGGATCGTTGTCCGTTGTCGGCGCCCTCAGGAAACAGAGGCCTTTGGTTATTGCAGCAAATGGATGGGATTGGTGAGCTGTTATCCTTGGAATTTATCTTGGGAAGGAGCAGGAGCAGGAGGGACAGAAAAACGCCGTATTTTGTTAAATATCTTTGTCTTTTATAGTTCCCTTTTTGTGCTTAATGTGCGGAGTTTTCCTTAATTCCATCTGTGGGAGCTCCTTCCTGTCCTGCTCTGTTTTCCCTTGGGAAATCTGATTTCTCTGGGATAAATCCCGGATTGATTCCAGCAGGATTTCTGGGAGCTGACACCCTGGGCGTGGCAGAGGATGGACTCCTCATCCCGTGGTTCTCCTCATCCGTGGGTGCTCCTTGGCACGGCTCCTGCAAAAGCGCTGGAATTCATTTCCCTAATTTGCTGCTGGCTCTGCATGTTCTGGCTTTTAAATGTTCCTCTTTCCCCTGGCTGCAGAGCAAGGTGGTGGTTTAGGGCTTTACTGCTGGCTTCCAGGCACTGATCCTGGAATTATTTCCCTGCCTGGGCAGAGTTTTTGTCCAAAAATGAGGATCATCCCAGCCCTCAGGACTGGACTCTTTGTCCAAGGCCTCGCCATCACTTCAGGGTGAGAGGAAACGGCCACAGAGATGGTTTAAATTGGATCTCAGGGAAAATTCCTTCTCAGAAAGGGTGGAAAGGCTGTGCAGGGGAGTTCTCTTCCCTGGAAACGTTCAGGGAATGTGTGGATGCAGCACTTGGGGCTGGTGGTGGCCACGGTGCTGGTTGATGGTTGGACTTGGTGATCTTGGAGGGCTTTTCCAGTTTAAAGGATTCTGTGATTCCATAAAATCCATGGTGGATATTGCGTCCTCATGTGCACTTAGGACTGGTTTGTGCCCCAGAAAACATGGAATTTCCCCTTTGGAATTGGGACCTTGCCTGGGGGGACACAGGAGCTGGAATGACGGGAAAGCACCCGTGAAATCCAGCCAGGAATTCCTGACAGGAATTCCATTTCCCTTCCTCACCAGTGCCTTGATGGACCCTCTTCCATGGGGATGAAAAGCCATGGAAAGGGTAAAGCAAATTCTCCTGAGTTTTCTTGGCTTCAGCTGCTTTTCCAATCATTTTCCTGGATCAGCAAATCTCTCCTCGGGCTCTTCTCTCACCTCTTCCAGCAGCAGCTCCTCGGCGTTCCCCAACATTTCTCCCAAAAACCCAGAGCAGCTGAGCAGTTCCAGCCTCTGTTTACAGACAGCAGCAGCACAATTATCCCTCAGGACTTGTTATCCCTCGCTGCCCTTCCCGGGCGGAATGATCTTCCTCAAATCCATTTTGTGCCCCGGCTCAGCCCTGTCTTAACTCCAGCGTCGCGTCAGGCCGTGAATCATGAGCTGGGCCCAAACTGCAGCTCTCGGGCAGAGGATGATTAATCCCAGCCACTCAGCCCTTCAAATTCATAAATATTGCAGAAGTAGGACACACAAATAACTTTGTTCTCCCTTCAGCCGGCACAGCGCGGATTCCTCAATATTCCTGAGCCAGGCTGGGTTTGAATTCCTTGGATAATGAGAATTCCAACAGCTCCTTGGGGAGGTTCTCTCTGGGTGATCTCCAGTTTGGATGATTTCTTGATGTGCTGCTCAAACACTCCTTTGCTCTGCTTGATCCTAATTATTAGGATGAATCCATGTGGAGCAGCCTGGCCACATTTTCCCAGGATTTTTCCCTGTCGCTGACAGGGGTTGCTCCAAGGAAACGGTTTCCCGAAGGCTCCCAAGGATACGGAAGTGACAGCAGCCCCCCAAAATCCCCAGGGAAGAGCTCAGCAGTGATGCCACCACTTGTAGGGGCTTCTTGTCCACCTCTGATTGTCCTGGAACCATGGAATACTTTGGGAAGGGATCCATCCCGCCTCGATGGGCAGGGACGTTTTAACGGGATCAGAGCGCCTCTGAAGGATTTCTCTGTCTGCAGCTTCTTGCCTCTGCCAGCGGCTCTCTGGCATTTAATTAATCCGTCTGATCCGTTAATTAAGCTGGAATTTGATCCATCAGGACTTCAGAGAGCTCGAGTAGAACTAAAAACACCACGAATACACAAGGAACGAACGTATTAGGCTCAGGAAATTGTTGTTTTGGGGTTTTTTCTTATAAATGGCTGTCTTGTCCTGTCCCCATCCTCCTCTAGACCGTGCTGGACCATGGATCCTCTGGAATTACTCTGGAAATGCCACAGGAGAGCAGCTGGAAGAGTTCCTGTCTGGTTTTCCAGTGACAGGAATGTCTGGGGAGCAGAACTCAGAGGACAGGAGAGCAGTGACCTCCTGCCACTTCAGCTTGCGCTGGATCAGCAGCCTGGGGAGGTCTCAGATGTTTGATTTAAAACCTGGTTGGACAGAGATCAGATCCTGCTCACCACAGGCCACTGCCCACTCACAGGGTGACCATGTGGCTTTAAATCGGTGCTACTGGAGTGCCACCAAGGCTTCTGTCCTCTGAGTGTCACCAGAGCTTCTTGTCCTCTGTGTGTCACCAAAGCTTTTTGTTCTCCAGGTGTCACCAGAGCTTTGCCTTCTCCAGGTGTCACCAGAGCCTTTTGTCCTCTGAGTGTCACCAAAGCCTTTTGTTCTCCAGGTGTCATCAGAGCCTTTTTTTCTCCAGGTGTCACCCTCCAGGAAACTGCTGAGAGTGTGAATTTATTTTAAAGCTTCTGGGTGCAGGAATAAGGGAACATTTCCTGTTTCCAGTCAGGGTCAGGAGAAATCATGGATTTGTCCTTTTCCAGCCTGGGCAGTGGATCTGCTCCCAGCTGCAGGAATAAGGGAACACTTCTTGTTTCCATCTAGGATTTAGGTAACTTTCCATTCTGCAAAGCAGGGGCAGAGCTGCCCTTCCTTCCCTCTGGAGCTGCAGGAGCCCTGGGATGCCTCGGGAAGAGGCTGAGCCCTCCAGGGCTCTCCTTGTGCCACAGCAGCACCTGCTGGGAGACAGCAGCTGGCACAGCTGGGGACATCCTCCCTGCCCATCCCACCGGCAGCACCTCGCTGGCACATCCTTGGCTCATCCCTGCGCCTTTCCCAATGGATTCGAGCCTCAGGACCCGCCTCTGCCTGCTCATCTTTGCACAGGCGGTGGAAAGAGAGGGGACGGCCTCGAGTTGTGCCAGGAGGGGAGAATTCCTGCCTGGAAAGGGTTGTCCAGCTCAGGGCAGGGGTGGAATCCCCATCCCTGGAGGGATTTCAGATCCCTGTGGATTCACCTGGGTCCATGGGGCAGTGGTGGCCGTGGAACTGTTGGACTCGAAGATCTCAGAGGGTTTTCCAACCTGAACAATTCCATGATTCTCCATTTCTAACCTTGCTCACCCCGACTCACCATTCCCTGCTCCTGAGGTCTCCCTATATCTTTGGGAAGAAAACCTTCAAATTAATCCTTTCACCTCAATCCTTTTGATCTGGATTGCTCATGGACACAAATCCCACGTGCCCAGGCTGCTGTCTCACCGTTCCCCAAAACCTGGGATTTATTTTTTTCCAGCCTGTTGCTAATTCCAGCTCCATTTGCCAGTGGAACAGACAGCTCAGAGATAATTAAATACCTGGGAGGTTGTGACAATAAACAGCTGGGCTGAAAAGGAGAAACCCTGCCAAAACCCATCCCTGCACAAAGGTTGGGGGTTGTTCCTCCCTCTAATTAGAGAGTAGAGAATCAGGATCTAAATTTAGGGGGAGCTGGAGCCATAAATGGGGTGGGGGACGGAGAAATTCTTGGTGGGACCTCATTGTTTTGGTCACTGTTCCTCAAATGTGGCCCAGAGCTGTCTCCAGGCTTCAGATTTATGGCATTGCCCCTGGAATTCTTCATCCTTGAGCAAAGGTCTGGGGCTTTTTCTCCCCCTAATTAGAGAGTGGAGGATCAGGATCTAAACTGGGGGGGAGCTGGAGCCATAAATGGGGACGGAGAAATTCTTGGTGGGACCTTGCCGTTACCCAAATGTGACCCGGAGCTGCAGCCAGGCTTGGGATTGATGGCATTGCACCTGGAATTCTTCATCCTAACGGATGGCCTCGTCTCTCCTGTCCCCTCTGCTGCTTCCAGGAGCAACGTGAATAAATCCCTGGAGCCGTAATGAGCTCCCGGCCGCCTGGCAGTGACAGGCGCTGCGAGATGCCGCGGGAGCCCAGGAGTCAGGGATTTGAGGGGATCTTTCCATCTGGGACACTGACAGGGCCTCTCTTATCAGCTGTCACCACCCTCCTGGTGGTGCTCCTTATCTCAGCCAGGCACAGCTTTTTGCCGTGCTGTTATCTCTGCTTTTTTCAGGGAAAAACCGATGGGAAAAGAGTGGGAATTACTGCACCTGCACCGGGGATTTTTGTCGCTTTTTTACCCCCCCTCTCCAAACAGGGACACGCTTCCCGTGTTTTTCCCGAGTTCCCTCCCTTGTCCCAGCTGGAACCGCTGATTCCTGAGGCTGGGATTGGATAACTCCAACCCTTTGCTCTGGCACAGCCTGGAAATGTTGGAGTCTGGAAGAGGCCGCCAGCACCGCGTGTCCAGGGATGGATCCACATGGACAATTTCCAGAGGGAAAACTCCCTCTGGGAGCCCCTCTGGGGCTGCAGCAGAGCTGTGTGGGTCGGAGCAGGGCCTTGCCCTTGGAATATCGGGATCACAGGGATCTCAGGATAGCAGGGATCTCATCCCAGGGCTGTGATCCCTCGCGGGCAGTGAATCCCTGAGCCAGGGCAGGTTGTGATTCCCAGGAAAGCCTGAGGTGCCAGGAGCAGGGTTGGAGGAGCCTCCAGCATCCATCCAGCTGGGAAAGGCTTGGATCCAAACAGTCCCAGCCAGGAGCAGATCCACTGCACAGGCTGGAAAAGGACAAATCCAGGATTTTTCCTGATCCACACAGGGCTCTGTCACATTTGACCTCAGCTGAGAAGCCACACATTCCAGGAGGAGGCTCCTGGCTGCAGGCAGGCCCCTTTCCCTATAAACTGTATTTTCCTTCTTGGAACAGCTTTCTCCCACTTTGGTCCATGATTTCACAGCGCTCCAGCTCCCCAGGGAATTTTCCTGTGCTCAGAACCTGCTGTGGCACAAAAGGACATAACTGAGAATGAATAATGTTTTATTAATATTGGGAATGTTTTATTTAGCAGTTGTTATTTATTTCTTTTTAATTTTTCTTGGGATTTTTCTTTTTCCTTTTTTTTTTTTTTTTTAAGTATGAAACAATTTTTCCTTCCCTCCCCCATGGAAAAAGCTCTTCCTGTGTCTGCCTGTCCCACCTGACAGGAGCTATTAAAGCCTTCCAAACAGCTGAAAGCAGCACTTTGGTTCCTGTGAAAGCCCCAGATTTCAGCTCTGATTCCCACCTGCCTTGTCAGGGCTGGAGACACCGAGCAGATCCCGGGGGAAAGCTGGAATTGCTCCTCACCGGGACGAGTCTGTTGTTTCTGCCCCTTGGGGGCTGAAAATTGCTTTGGAATGTTCCTCCTGCAGACAGGAGGGAGGTGCAGGCTGGGTTTGTCAGCGCTGCCATTCCAGGAAAGGAGCTGAGGGAAGGACAGGGAGGAGAGGAAAAGCTCCTGGAGGGGCTGTTTTCCCACAGGGAACGTCTCTCCATGCTTCAGGACAGAAGGTCCATGAGGAAAGATGAGTTTTCAGGAGGCACCAAAGGAAAAGGAGGGTGGGAAGAGTTTAAATCAGGATTTTCCATCTCTCAGCCCACCACACAGCATTCCAAGCTTTTCCCAAGCAAGGCTGGGACACCTCCCACTGCCCCAGGATGCTGGGGCACTGCCAGGGATCCAGGGGCAGCCACAGCTGCTCTGGCAATTCCAGCCCAGCCAGCAATTCCCAATTCCCAATCTCCCATCCATCCCTGCCCTCTGGCACTGGGAGCCATTCCCTGTGTCCTGTCCCTCCATCCCTTGTCCCCAGTCCCTCTCCAGCTCTCCTGGAGCTCCTGCAGGCCCTGCAAGGGGCTCTGAGCTCTCCCTGGATCCTTCCCTTCTCCAAGTGAACATTCCCAGCTCTCCCAGCCTGGCTCCAGCCCTGGAGCAGCTCCGTGGATTCCTCTGGATTTGCTCCCACACATCCACACCCCTATCCCGTGTCCTTGGCCGTCACCAGCTCACTGTGAGGTGTTCCTGCTCCATGGGGCTGCCCCACCCTGCTGGAAATAATTCCAGAATCCCTTTTGGAATTGTTAATGCCAGTCCCTGTGGAATAAACACCACTTGGATGAACCTCCCGTGACAGACCCCAGCTGCATTTTGGGGTCAGGCCTCCCGTTCTGAGGTGATTTCTCAGTTGCCACAACCCTTCCTCACCCACAGCCATTTATCCATGGGCTGAATAAAAGTCAGCAGCCGGGCTGTGAGGAAAGAGTGGGATTTAGCACCAAATAATCCTAAAAAGGAAAGCAGAGGTGGCAGTGGGGAAGTGAGCGGTGGTGGGAGAGCGCCGGGGAGCACCGGGGCGGCGTCAGGGACACACGGGGAGGACACGAGTGTCACAGCAGGGCTGGGAAATCTCCCCTGAGGCTGCTGAGAACCTCACCCCGCAAACCTGGCAGCTTCCAACGACTCCAGCAACAGCATCAACAGCGGTGCCTGACTGTTGGCCCCTCTCCTCTCCCGTTTCCCAGTGCCCCCCAACCTGACGGTCCCGCAGGAGAAGTCCCCGCTGGTGACGCGGGAAGGGGACACCATCGAGCTGCAGTGCCAGGTGACCGGGAAGCCCAAACCCATCATCCTGTGGTCACGGGCGGACAAGGAGGTGCCGATGCCGGACGGGGCCCTGCAGACGGAGAGCTATGACGGGATCCTGCGGATCGTCAACGTTTCCCGGGAAATGAGCGGGACCTACAGGTGCCAGACCAGCCAATACAACGGGTTTAACGTCAAACCCAGAGAGGCGTTGGTGCAGCTCATTGTGCAGTGTGAGTAAAACCTGATTTCCCTTGATTTTCTTTCTGTTGCGCTGAGGAAAAGTTGATTTATTCCTCCCCTAAACAAAGAGCAGCAAGAGTCTTATGGCTGTTACATATTTGATGTGGGGTTGTTTGTCTCTGTAGTTCCCTGAATCCATGAATTCCATGTAAATATGGAAGTAAAAATGACATAGGACTCTCATTTCTGGTGAAAAAAAAAAAACCAAAAAACACCAACAAAACAACAAAAAGCAAACCAAGTGTGAGGCAATCATTATTTTCCCCACAGCTTTGAATTCCTTGACACGGGAACAAGCGGATGAGATGGGAGGACATATTTCTCTAAATGCTGAGCTGATCCTGAGCTCATTTGTTGCTGCTGTGTAAAACAAGGAGGAAAAAACGAGGGCAAGAGCTGTTCCCTGGGAGCTGATCCGCATCCAGATCCAGCCTGCTCCGCTCTGCCAGCCAGCCTCGGGAACAGGGAGGGAGAAGGGGGGGAATTGGTTATTTTTTATTTCGGAAACGTGCAGCATTTGTTGTCGGGACATGGAAAGCCTGGTTTGAGGCGGTTTCTGGGGAATAACGGGGGGGATAATGAGCCATTCCTTGTGCTGAGTGACTTCCCAGGGTCTGCTGCTCTGTCAGGACTTAATTTGGGTGTTTTATGAAGTGGAGCCCTCGCTTATTCCACTTTCAGATGCCCCAATCTTCTGTCATTTGGCTTTTTAGCAGCGCTCTGTGCTCAGCACCAGTGACCTCTTTTGGGGCCTCCAGGGAAGAGCCGCTCCTCACACGTCCTCAGAGCTGATTTGTTTTTCCGGGCTCTGCTTTGTAACAAATTATGGATGCATTGATTACGTGGCTGGGATCTGCAGGGCTTCCATCCCAGCTTTTTCCCGCTGCTCCAGGTTTAAATCCCAAACGTCAAGGCTGACGGGAGGATGGAATCTTCTGCCTTGTGGGTTCCTCTGAGCTGTGGGGTTGGCTGTGTTAGGATTCATCCCATCAGAACTCGAGAACGAGGGGTCTGTGCCTCCTGTCCTTGGCTCAGTTGTTTCTTCCTGGAAATAAAGAGGCTCAGGGGGCCCTTGTGGCTCTGCACAAGTCCCTGGCAGGAGGGGACAGCCGGGGGGGTCGGGCTCTGCTGCCAGGGAACAGGGACAGGAGGAGAGGGAACGGCCTCAGGCTGGGCCAGGGGAGGCTCAGGGTGGACAGCAGCAGGAATTTCCCCATGGAAAGGGCGCTCAGGCCTTGGAAGTGCCCAGGGAGGTTTGCAGTGCCCATCCCTGGAGGTGTCCCAGGAATTGCTGGAGGTGGCACTCGGAGCTCTGGGGACAGGGTGGGCACCGGGCACAGCTGGGACTCTGGTCTTGGAGCTCTTTCCCAACCTCAATGATCCTGGGATTCTGTGAATCTGGGAATGAGAACCACCATAGAAACAGTGGAGTGTTGATCCTTCCAAACAAGGAGGGGGGGAAGTCGCTTCTTTCCCCTTTTCCTGGCATGAATTTGCTGTGAAAAGGAGAAAATATTTTGTGGTGGAGGAATTCCAACAGCTTCACACTTCCTCAGGACCTGGAGCAATTCCTGGTGGATCCCATGGGATGACTCTGCTGACTCTCAGATTCAGGGGATGCGTTGCTTGGGTCGCTGTTATTCTCCCACCTTTTCCTGTTGCCAAACCCCCTCGTTTTGAAGCATTTTTGTTCTGCTTGAGAGGCAGAATTTTCCTAATTCCCCGAGAAGAGACACAACCTGAAAATGCTTCCAAGAAGTAGGATTTCAACAGGTATTTCCAGGCGCTTTTCCTTTCATCTCTCCGTGTTTAGAATTCTGCTCCCTTTATTCACATCCTGGCAAGTGACAAATTGGAGATGAATGGAGAAAAATTATGGAAAGCTTTGATTATTTTTCCTGTGGGAGGAAAGTTTTTGTTCCCAACGACTTGAGCAGCGTTTCTGTACCGAGGGTGGCATTTAACCAATTGTCATAAAAACCAGTTCTTTTCAGAATTTGGGAATATTTATCCTAGATCCTTCCAGCAGTGATGAGCAGGGAAAGATATTTAATGGAGCACTTTTATTTAGAGAATAACTCATGGGTTTCACTGTGGAATGAGGATATTCCCATTCTTTGGAAGGTTCTTCTTGTGACAGCAGGACTTTGTCTCACTAAAAGTGGTTAATTAATCTGTTTTCGAGGAATTATGGAATATCCTGAGTGGGAAGGGACCCACAAGGATCTCAAATCCAACCCCTGGCACTGCACAGACACCCCAACAATCCCATCCTGTGCTGCCTTGGGAATGTGCTCATTCCCTGGGAAGCTGTTCCGGTGTTCTACAGGGAAAACCCTTCCATGGGATTCCTGCTCCAGGTCACATATGTTGGGTCATGCTAAAGAAAAATTAAAACTAAATTAAAATATAAAGGATTTTTTTTTATTATTTTTATTTGACCCCCCTCATCTAATGAGTTTTTTGTTTTCCTCACCTCCCTTTTCTGCTGCCATCCCTTTATCCCATCTCAGTGATGTCAGGATCCCAGCCTGGAAGTTCTCCGCGAAAATTGTGGATTTTTGGTCTTGGTCACAGTTTGTCCTTGAGCTGTGGTTTAAGATTTTTTTTTTTATTAGTGTGTGTTTACCTTAAATCCTAAAACTTCTCTAGAAAAATGAAAATCCTGGAGTCACAGAAAGCTTTGAGTTGGAAGGGAATTTCAGCCCCATCCCATTCCAAAGCCTCCATGGGCAGGGACACCTCCCACTATTCCAAGTTGCTCCAAGATGAGTCTTCCTCTTTGTTTGGTTTCCCATCATGGGTTACTGGGGAGATTGGGAAAGAATTCCTGGCTGGGAGGGTGGGGAGGGGCTGGGCTGGAATTGCCAGAGCAGCTGTGGCTGCCCCTGGATCCCTGGCAGTGCCCAAGGCCAGGCTGGACATTGGGGCTGGAGCAGCCTGGGGCAGTGGGAGCTGTCCCTGCCATGGCAGGGGTGGCACTGGATGACCTTCAAGGTCCCTTCCAACCCAAACCACTCTGGGATTCCATTTTATCATTTTCCAGCTTCAATTGCGGATAAATAAATTTTTAAGGAATAAATCAAACCCTGCTGGCGGCAGACAGGGCCCAACCCAGGGACAATTGACCAGCTCCACTTTTCCAGCTGCAGGAGAGGCTGGGGACATGAAAGTGCCACCAGGTGCCACCTAAGACAACGATTCCATGGTGTCCCTTCTCAAGTGATCGGAGCGTGAGGATGGGATCGTTTTCCCCGGCTCCCTTTTCCTCCTGCGCTCCATAAAATCCTGTTTAGAGCACAAACCAATTCCCAAACTCATCCGTCTCCAAACCCTTGGAAAGCCTCATAAAACATCCAAGATATTTCATGGAAGCCTGGCTGGCAGACCTTTGGTGGCCACATTGGGATGCTCCAGAATTTCCCGTTCCATTGGAGCTTGGCTTTATTTGCGTCATTCTCTCTCGGCAACAAATTCCAGATAACTCTGGAAAAAGGGGCTCATCCTGCAGGAATTAGATTGGGACTGGAACAGAACTAATTAAGGAGAAAGATGAGGCTGAGTGATGATCTCAGGAGCTGAGTGGAGAAGCATAAATGAGTTATTCCCGTTTTCCATCAGCTGGAGGATCCAGCCCTGAGCCCTCTTTCCTTGATTTTCGGTTTCTTTGCAGCTGGGAATGGGAAAAGGAATTTTCTGCCTTGGAAAGGCGATTTGGCAGCTCAGGCATGTGCTGGGTCTATCTCAAAATATCTGCCTGATGAAATATGTATATGCAAATATTGTATTAATAATTAAATAAAAATCATTGCGGGAGAAGGAAGCGCTCCCCATCTCAGAGGGGACTGGGATTAATGATCTAAAAACTCTTGGAATTTTAGGAAAGTCATGAGGAGGAACTGTTTGAACAGGTAGGGTGGCCAGTCCCTGTGAGAATTTACCAACTTCATGGAATTGTCTTGTGAATGGAGATCCGGAGTGTGGTGAAACTCCCAAGGAGTGTAATCTTCCAGGTTATAAAATTTTAATTATGAAAACTCATTAAAAAGGGATAACCAAGGAATCTGAGAAATCAAATGGGGGAAATATCTTGATTTTTAAACAAGCCTGTCATAAATCTGTGCTTAGGCAGGCTGGAATGATGAAGGAAAGCAGAATTTGCATTTAATATTAGTATTATTTACATCTTTTTTTTTTCCCTCCCCTTATGAGTGAAGATTTGAGTGGGAAAAGCTGATTAATATTCAGGACAAATATTACATAACCCAATCCATTCCCAGGCTGGTGCATTTATCACTTTCTGAATGAATTCTTCCTCTAGAGATAAAAGTTGGGTTTAATTTGGGCTGTTTGTGGTGGGAGAAAGGACGGCCTGAAAACAAACGTAGAACAAACGTCAATTTTTTTTAATTCTTTAATTTTTTTCCCTTCTCTTCCAATGAAAAAATGACCTTAACGACTTGAAAATACCAAAATAATGGTGCTCCCATCACTTTTAAAATGTTGATTTGCTCTCCCAAGTGGTTTTTTCCACCCTGGTGGTTGTATCTGTGGAATTCCACATTCCCACCCAAAGGATTTTCCCAGGTTATGGCAGAGGTTGATGCCGCTAAGCTGAGCTTAAAACTTCAACCTTCCTGTGGGGATATTGATTGCTATATTTATTTTATATATAAATACAGAGAGATTTAGGCACTCCCAATGGATAATTCCCATACTGTGGTTTTTAACCTATGGATCATTCCCCAATCCTTAATTCCTAGTCCAGAAACTTCCCAAAAAAAATGTAAAACAACAAAATCTATTCTCTAAGATCCTCATCCGATCTGGGCCCGTTTCAGAATAACCCAGATGCAACGATGGCTTTGGGTGTAATTTATCCACGTGGAGCAAGGCAGGGAAAAAAATATGGAAATCACGGATGGCTGGATCGGGAAAGAGAAATCCCAGGAGCTTTTTGACATTTAGCAAGGTCAAGGGCAGCGTGAGT